GAGTGTGAGTGTGTCTGATGATGAATACAGTGTTCGGGTGGGGTCTTCAGACTGGCCCTCAGAGGCCATAGCCACAAGATGTGCCAAGTTGACTTGAGCTGAGTTATTGGCCGAAGGCCATATCTCTGAATTTTCTGTGTGGGCGCACTGCGCCATCTCACGCTTGTTGCTGATTCTACTTGGAGGAAGTTGTTTTGCCATTCAGCACCTGCATGTATGCATGCTGGAAGTGAATTCAAGACAAGTGTGATTGCACAGAGCACGGAAAAGCCAAAACATCTTGTGTGACAGGAAACCACCAGGGAAAACCTACAGGAAAGACCTAGAATAGAACATGCTTCGGAAACACCGAGAGCATGAGCATTGAGAGCAGACAGGACAGCACAATGCGCACATCACGTCGTGGTGAGCGCAGTCCCCTGATGTCCACCCCATCAGAGCCAGCCAATCGCATAAGAGAGACCAAGCAGGTGTCATTTACATAATTGATATGGCATACAGCAAAAGCCTCAGGTGATCACCGCCAAACATGCAAATACGAGTTCATGCTGCCATGCACACACACACACACACACACACACACACACACACGAGAGCGCGTGTGCGTTCACATGCAAAGAGCAACAGAGGCAGCTGTAGACAAGGCCACAGACCAGGATCACTTACATAACAATATTTATGGTCCAGTAGGGGACCTGTTGCGGCTTCGCCCGCAATAATGAAGGAATTGGAGGGTTTGGTCATGGTTGCATTTGATAGTACCTGTTGTGTGTTTCACTTCCCATACCTGTCTCCATCTTACCACAATTTCCCCTAGTTCGCAAGAAGTATTCTTTCTCAGATGTCAGGAGATAGGCAATCCTGCCATACAGCATTGCGCTGGTGGGGGGTTGCACTGGCGGACGGGGCATGGCCGTTGAGACTGCGCGTGTGTGCTTATGCTGTGTGTGCACGGCTGTTGAAACCGATCTTGCAAACGCCATGTTTGCAATTACCATTCTGTTTCGTTTACTCTCTCTCTCTCGCTCATACGCGCGCGCGTGCACGCATGTGTGTTTTTGTTTTTTGTTTTTTTGAAGGGTCTCGATGGACCATGGATCAAATTTGAAATTGATTGGAGCAGATACTACACTTGCTCGTGTTGGGGGGGAGGGTTGAGGCGTAGTTAGTTAGATTGGGGTGTATCTCTCTCGGGCGTGCGCGTTCGCAGCATGCATTTTTTTATTTTATATGAGGGTCTCGATGGACCACAGATCGGATTTGAAACTG